GAGCCCCTGGGAATAAAGTCGTTTCTGTACTTTCGACTCGCTGTTTTCAACACAAGGTCCTGGGGTGGGGGGAGGTTGGGGCGCTCCTGGGAGGGGGAGCTGATCCTATGGCCAGGTCCCTAAGGTCTGGACAGGGGTCTCCCTCATCCCCCACAGCGGCACTCCCGCCCCGCACCCCTCTCCAGTCGACCTCCACCTCCGCTCGGCGGCCCCAGCCCTGCCCGTCCTCCTGGGCACCGCCTCGCCCCTGCCGCACGCCCATGGGGTGGGCCCTGCCAGGACGCCTGAGATGCCTGTTCTGACACCCTCAGCTCCCCATCCCCTCGCCAGTCTCCGCGCCCCAGCGCCCCACCCCCACAGTACCCACCTTGATCAGAGAAGAAGGGCTGGGCGGCCCTCGCTGGAATGCTGAGACCGTGCAGGCCCCTCACCAGGCCTGCACCTGGCGACTTGCCATGGTGACCAGCCTGGGGGCCTCCTCCCGCTGGTCCCCTCATCGGCTCCCGCCAGCCTCCAGCCACAGCCCCAGGGCCGGCCCGGCCCTCCTGACCTGTGCAGCCCGCCCGAGTCCCCAGGGGCTGGCCGGGGCGGGGCGGGGCCGACCTCACCGGAGTGGGCGGCAGTGAATGCTGCTCTGAGCTTCTGGAATCCCGAAGGCCCGGGCTGGGCTGCCCTGGCCGCACAGACATCCGGGATGTGCCCTCCCCAAATCTGCTGTCTGCACATACACTGACCCCGGAGAAGATGTCTCCGGAAGGAACAGGGACACCCCAATACATGCACGCGCTACCCACGCCATCCTCACTTCTGCTTCCCTCCCTCGCCCCCTGCCTGTTGGCTTCTGGGGCCCTCAGCCATCTTGCCCGCCCCCTCAGGCCTTTCCTTGAGAAAGGAAAGTTACTGGGGGCGACAGGGACCGGCTCCTTCAACAACTGCTCCCAGAGCCTGCCTGCGCCAGCTGGACCAGGAACCAGGCCCCGCCTGGACCCAAGGACACGGTACCCCCACTCTGGCTGGGGGCGTGACCAGGCACTGATCCTGCCTCCATCACAGCCGGCGACGACGCAGACGCAGACCCGGGCCAGAAGGAGCCTGACCCGGTCCGCAGCCCCTCACCTGGACGGAGGTGCCGTCGCCAACCCCTCAGCCTCGCCTGTGGTGTCGGGCGCCTTCTCCGGGCCTCTGCGTCCAGCGCACCAGTCGCCTCCCTCGCTGACACGATCGTGGCCGCCACGCAGGGCTGTGCGGTTTGGTCTGGCCTGGGCGCCTCTCTGCTTAGCTTCCGGAGCCGTGCTGCCCAATGGAACCTTCTCGATAATGGGAATGTTCTATAGGAGGGGGCCCCCTTGCCATAGCCACGGCGCTGCCGAGCACCCAAACGTGGCCGTGGCCACGAGCAGCGGCTGTTTTGTTTCACTTCATTTTCAGCGGTGGCTGCCGTGGCAGGCGGCCTGGCCCCGAGGCCTGAATGCCCTCCCGAGTCCCAGTTGCAGTTGGGCAGAATCAGTGCATGACGGGAACGAACCGGGATGAAGCGTGGACTTGGCAGCATCCTTCTCCAGTGTCCCCTTCAGGCTCCAGCTCTCCACACTGGGTGGGGCTCGTGTTACCAGGACAGCCTGCTGGCCGGCCGCTGGCGGGGTGGGGGCGGCCAGACTCCGTGCCCCTTCCCTGCTGGCTCTGCGGCCTGAGAACCAGCTTGACGTGAGGAGAGCAGGGAGACAACTGGGGGCCAGGCCAGCTCCGCCTGGACAGACTGGGCTGGGCGGCTGTTACTGGGCCCCGTCCCTGGATGGCATCACTCCTGTGAGGCGAAGTGCCCTGGGCTGTAGCGGGCCCCCTCTCCCCGCTCTGGCCAGGGACGCCCAGCTTCTACAGGTCCCTCGCCGCTCTGCCCCTCACTCCTTTCCAGGGCCACAGTTCTTCCGCAGTTTCTCCTAGGTTCAAGATCTAGAGCCCTCCGTCTGGCTCCCCGCCAGGCCGTTAGGGCCTGGAGAGCAAGGAAGAGCCGCTTGGCTCGGCAGCACCCTGCCTGCTGGCCACTGGCCGCCAGAGCTGCTGGGTGGCTGCAGCCAGGTGTTGCGGGCTGTGTTCTGCTGCCCTCTAGTGGTCAAACTGGCAGCGACCCCCCCCAGGAGGCCCCAGGTGGCCCCAGCGGACTGAGGCCCCAGGGGCCTCCAGTCTCAGCGCGGTGTGATTCTCAAAGAGCCCCTCATCCCCCTGAACTCCAGCTTCTTCACCTGTAAGTGGGGGTGGCAGCCTCAGGGGTTCAGTTGTGCTGCAGCCACGAGTGGCTCCCAAGGCCCAGGGCTGACCCTGGGGGTTTTCTCCTCCGGGCTCTCGGCTCCTGCGCACTGTGTTTGGGCTGCAGGGGCTCTGTGCCTTGGCACTGGGCCTGGGCATGGAGCTGGCCCTCCTGGACTGGGCAGGAGAGGGCGCCGGTTTTTAAATGCTTCGGCCTAGACTCTCCTGACTGCAAAGAACAAGTAGCCTGACCCCACATACCCCAGGCGGCTGGTGATGGCCCCAGGGATCATGCCCAGCGCGTCATCAGGCTCCATCCTTCAGCGCTGAGGTTACTGGGGGTTGATTCCCTCCACATGGGCCCCCGTGAACCCCTGGACTTTCACCTCATTCCAGCTGCTACAGCCGCAGAAACAGAGGGAGACAGACTTGGCAAAGTTCACACAATAAGCCAGTAATTGGGCACCCAAGACTCTGGACATCAGGTTCAGAGCCCCTCCCACCCTTCAGGGTCCACTGAGGGAGTGAGGCCCTTGGAGGAAGCCTGCAGGTTCCACCCGCCTCCCAAAGCTGCTCTCACCTCCCAACCTGACCGGCAGCCCAGTGGAGGGCCGAGGGCGCGGAACAAGGAGAAGCTTGTGCCACCCTCCTGGGCCAGAATCCCAACACTGCAGCATTCCCACGCAGGCCCTGCCCCGCCCCGCCCAGGGCTGGACACGCCCACCGCATTGAGTGCTTCCAGGATGGTGGGAGGGGCCGCTGCTGGGCTCTGCAAACCTCCAGCACTTCCAAACCTGAACCACAGTCTACCTGCAGGAAACCTCTCTGCTGCTCCAAAATCGCAGTCCCTAAGCAGACAGCCCCTGGCAAGACTTCCAGAGACAGGTCCCTTCATCCAACCAGGGCCCGGCCCATGCCAGGCAGGGTGCAGGCTGGCCCGCCAACCAGAGACATGAGCAAGACGGCAAGATCAGGGCCGTCACGGGAAAGCTGTCGCGGGGTCCGAAACCCTCCAGGAGGAGGACGCAGCTACTGGAAGGTCATCAGATTCTCGCCCTAGGCCTCAACTTTACTTGTGAAAATGCCTCTGGGGGTTCGGTCCCCTCGCCACCACCTGCTGCGGTTCTGGGCTCCCACCGCACCCCCCACTCGGCGCTCAGCCCTCTCCGCCACCACAGCTCTGCCTTGGCCAGCTCCCCTTCCCCTTGCAGGGGAAACTCCTATTCAGCCGCCAAAACCCAACCCAGTAGCTCGGTCTTCCAGGCAGCCTCTGGACAGCCCTCCCGGGAGTCCGCCACCTTGTCTGGCTTTTAGCTCTCCCCCATCTCTTGCTGCCATTCCAGTTCTGCCATCTGTCCGGCACCACGCGGCCTTGCCCTGATTCGGGACTGCTGTCTCCCCAGCGCATACCTGGTGCCAGGCCTGGTGCTGGGGGAGAGCAGAGCACGACCTGCCTCGGTGGGGTCCGGCTGAGCTGTGCGAAGCACGGACTCACCCTGTACTTTCGCCCTGACACCGGCCACAGCCTCGCAAGGCTGGCAGGGCAGGCGACCCAGTTCTGGGTACGCACCCAGTTCTCCCCAGAGAACCTGACATGAGCTGAGCGCGTGTCAGATACAGGTTGGGGGATGGATGTGAGATTAAATCATCTGCGATTCGCAGGGCCTGGCACACAGGAGTAGCTGGCAGACCCCACCGTATGTCTAAGAGCTAAGGGCATTTGCCCATGAACCCCGTGTTACAGGGTTTCCTGTTGTCAGGCAAGCCCTGGTAGCGGGGGAAATACCTGTGCTCACGGGTGCTGGCCTGTTTCAAGAGCGGCTGCCATCTGGATCAACTGCTCCCCATGCGCCATTAAAAAAAAAAAAAGCCCAGACAATGCTCTGTAATGTTTAGAACTAGTAAAATGTGTCTTTCACGGGAATCAATCTTTCCCTCTGTCATCTAATGAGAGTAAAGTGACTGTGCGTGTGCCCCTTTCTCCCTGGCAGCCAGGAAGCTCCAAGTAGGACAGTAGGAATCAGAGTCCAGACACCCCGCCCACCCGCTGCGGCCCCTCGGCTGGGGCCGTCGCAGCTCCACGGGAAGAGCAGCGGTAAGTCAGCGCTGTGCAGTAAGCCCGGAGACGACCGGAAAGGCGCCATCCGGCTTTTAGGGCACAAAGTGGCGCGAGCCTCTCCTGTGCTCTCCTCAGCAGCCCGCGGGGACCCCAGTGGGGAGTGGAACTGCCCAGGCCCCAGGGCCGCCTCGGCCTCAGGCAACAACCCCCAAACCCCCCCTCAGCCGTGAAACGCCTCCCTTTGAACGGATTCACACCTCAGGCCCAGTGCAGCCAAAATTTTTATTTTTAAAGAGTCAGAAAAGATTTTCTCATGAAACCTCCTGACTGTTAAACATTGTGAAGTCATTTGCATTTCAAAACGCTGCACTGGACACCCAAAGTTGGTGGCAGGCCCCCCGCGGAGGCCCTCCCTGGGGAGCCGGTCACGCCTGGCCGCTGACATCTTTTCTGTAACCCTGACTCCCACCCTTGCGCCCCAGTGTCCCAGGAGAGCTGCCTCCTCCTCACTGTCCAGCCGGGTCTTGGTGGCCGGTCCAGCGGGCCTGCCCCAAGCCCGCCATCCCTGGGAGCCGGCCTGAGCTCGGGTGGAAGGTTGAAATGAGCACTTGAATCCCAGTTTGTCCCCCTCCAGAGAGGGGGACGGAGCTCCCCTGGGTGGAGCCACAAGACAGAAAACCTGCAGGCCTCTGGCTGCGAGGCCTCTGGCTACGAGGTGCGAGGGGCTCCCTGCGCCACAGTAAGGCCCGGCTGGGGCGGGGTGTGGCTCTGAGCCCTGCACCGGCCTGTCCCGCGGAGCGCCCCGCCCTGGGAGCCACTTCCCCTTCTTGCCCAGGCTGGTGGGGTCGGTTCCCGCCCCCCATCATCAGTCCCAACTCATCCCCGGCCTCTGCCGGCCCCCAGCCCCACCTGTGACCAGCACAGGGCCCCTGGGCTGCAGCTCCGCCCTTCCGCCTTGCCCCCCTCTGCCCCGTGGGGAGGGGAGCCCAAAATACACGGGGGCTGGCACTGCAAGGGAAACTGAGGCACTGTGGGACTGGTGACCAGCGGGTAGAGCTGGTCTCCCCCATTCTTATGTGGGGGTGACTAAAAGGCCCTGCCCCCAGCGGCTCCTGGGAAGCCCGCCAGCCTCCCCGCGACTTCCGCCAGCGTGGCCGCCCTCCCTCAGGCTCACCCAGCTCTGGGATCCCCCTGTGGCTGGCTCCTCCATCCCCGCTGGCTTTCACCCAGCACTGCCTGCCCCCAGCCCGCACGCACTCACCCCTGGCTCGGAGTAGGGTGGGTGGAGCTGCCTGGGACCAGGGCACCCATCCGT